ACCGCGGCCGCCGGTAGGGGGAGCCCTGGCGCCACTCACCCGCAGCCCGTGGGGGCCGAAGGAGCTCAGAACTTGCTTGCTTTCCTACAGGTTTGACTTGAAGACACAGAGGGTGGATACCCAGAGTGTCACTCGCTTGGATAGGTTGTTCCCTGGGGTGCCCTGGAACTCACACGACATTTTCCAGTACCAAGGTGAGGTTTGCTGATGCTGACTTAGGAGGGTCCCTTCATGAAATGCCCCCCACACTAGTCTCCCTCCCTTAGCTACTGACCAGTTTCCCAGCAGGAGAAAGCCCTGGGAGACTGAGGGAAAGCGCCCCCAGTTCACACAGCCAGATCTAAGTCCCAGACTGCTTGTTTATCTTTCTCTTCTGGGAACTCCATCACAGAACTCAGTTCTCGGGAAGGTATAAAGAAATAACAACCAGAATCAAGGGCTATAATGTGCCAGGCCTGCCACTGGAGATACTCCGAGAGGCAAGCAAGTTCTAGCTGTCTTTGGGCAAGTCACTGCCTCTCTTGGGGCCTCAGTTTCCCCATCTGTCAAACAGAGCTTTTATCTTTTCTTTTCAACGCCCATACCCCATTAGTTGGCAGTTTTAGGGTGATTCTAAAACTCAGATTTCCCAAATCTATCATTTTCAGCCATTTCCCTTATCCCCGTCCCTCCAATCATACTGGCTATCCAATAACCTTTAATACATTCTGTAAGAGTGGGGCGGGATGGGAGTGAAGGGCAGTGGTCCTGAGGGTGAGCTCGAGCAGATGCTAAGGTGGAAGAAACTAACATGGCCTGACCACTGTGCTGCCTGTACTTCCAAGTTCTCCTCTTCCCTGTACTCTTGATGTTCCCTGTGTTCCACCTGTGCCGTCTCTCTTCAAGGCCATTCCTAGCTGCAGGCCTTGGGGCCAGCCGGTCCCCTATTTGGAAGGCTTCCCACCTACACTGTCACCATGCAGCCTCTCTCTCATCCTTCAGTGCCAAGGTCACCATTTCAGAGAGTCTCCCCCGACCTTCTTTATGTCCTCCCTTCCTTTTATTTCTGCCTGTATCTTGAGATCATGTCTGTATTCCTCAGGCCTCTCACAGTGCTTGGCACATAGCTGGTACTCAGTAAATACCTGTCGGATGAACAGATGAATGAGTGAACAGATGAATGAGTTTGTCCAATGAATGGGTGTTAGAAGGACTGATCTGAGCATTCAATACTACCCATTCATTCACAACCTCTTTGTGGAACACCTACCAGGCACTGGGCTTGCCAGTACTTTGGGTATCGATGTCTATGCCCTCCAGCATCTCCTAGGCAGGTAGAAGAGATGAAAGTGTCTTGTAAAAACCACAGAAAGATATAGAAAGGCTGGGACAGGTGTGTCTTAGTTAGGCTTCTATTGCTGTGAAGACACACCATAACCATGGCAACTCTTATAAAGGGAAACATTTAGCTGGGGCTGGCATACAGTTCAGATGATTACTGTTTAGTCCATTATCATCATGGTGGGAGAATGGTGGCACACAGGCAGACACGGTGCTAGACAGGTGGCCGAGAGTTCTACATCTGGATCCGCAGGCAGCAGGAAGGCAGACACGCTGGACCTGGCTTGAGCATCTGAAACCTCAAAGCCCACCCCCAGTGACACATTTCCTCCAACAAGGCCACACCCTCCTAATAGTGCCACTCCCTATGAGCCTATGGGGGCCATTTTCACTCAAACTGCCACAGGGCAGCTGTAAAAGTCTTGTTCCTGTGCCCGTGAGGGAGTATAGGATTCAGCTTTCTTGTGTCTCCTTGTTTCCCACAGACAAAGCCTACTTCTGCCATGACAAATTCTACTGGCGTGTGAGTTTCGAAGGTGCGGTGAACCACGTGGACCAAGTGGGCTATGTGACCTACGACATCCTGCAGTGCGCTGCCAACTAGGGCCCCCCCCTTGCTTCAATGGTGCAGTGCACGAGGGACCACCCCAGGGGAACAGGAGCCAGTTTGCCGGATACAAACTGGTGATTTCATTTAGAGGATGGGGAGGAGTGGAGGCGGGCTGGGCCCTCTCTTCACACCTTCCTTTTGTGTTGGCCTATTTCTAATAAATGTTGATTCCTAAAACCGTTACCAGCTACTTTAATGGACCGGCTTCTCCTTGGTCGTGTGCATGTCCACACAGGCACGTGGAGGTCAGAAGAGTCAGTTATGTCCTTCCATTTTTCTGTTGTTGTTGTTTTTGTGGGATCTGGGTACTGAACTCAGCCCCTCAGGCTTCTGTGGTGAGCACTTCATCTGCTGAGCCGCCTCGCTGACTCTAGCCACTTTTATTTATTATGTATGTGGTCACGTTCACAAGCGTGTATTTAACTGACAGAATGCTTACTGTGTGTCAGGCAGTGCTCCAAGCTCTGCATAAATATTAAGGTATTCAGTTACCCCTACTGGAAGGTGTTATGTAACTATTTCTCTTTTGCGTCTGAGGACACCACCAAGCTACTCGTTCATCAAACATTCATTGGGAGCTTCCCTAGGGATCCAGGCTCGGTATTGGGCACAGGGCACAAAGGAGTTCATTGGCTATCGGCCCTTCCTTCGGGGATCTCTCGGTGACTCTCAATGTCCTGGACACCTGCTTGCAGACCCCAGACTCCATTCTGGAGAATCCAGCTCACTCACAAGGGAAAGCCTGTGTCTGGCAGAGCATTGAGCTTGGAAAGTGAAAAGTACATGAGCTCAAGAGGTGTGTGGGAGGTGTGGTGGGAACTCCCTCAGCCAATAGCCTTTTAGATACAGGCCCACTTCGGGTGTGGTTTCAGGTTCTGCACGTGCAGATGAAAAGCCTGCATGGCCTCTCTTTTCTGCTCAGTCGGTACAGCATTAGACTCTGTTGACTGAGGTTTCTGTCCCACCAGGTCCCACAGTTGTTCAGTCCCAAAGAAATACACAGAGGTCTATATTATTTATAAACAGACTGGCCTATTAGCTCAGGTCTCTTATTAACTCTTATATTAGCCCATAATTCTTGTCTGTATTAACCACGTGGCTTGGTACCTTATTTGGTACTTGCTTCCTCTGTGTCTGGATGAGGACTGCAGACTGACTCTTCCCTCTTTCCAGAATTCTCCTGTTCTCATTGCTCTGCCTGTACTTCCTGCCTGGCTACTAGCCAATCAGCATTTTATTAAACAAGTATAAGAAACAAATTTTTACAGGGTAAAACCATTGTCCCACAGCAAGACTCTTAATCTCAGGTCGTGGGTTTGACAAGACCCATGTTGGGCTCCATATTGTAGGCGTATCCAAGAGTTCCACAATAGCCCAGAATAGAACATAACAAAGATTTATTTATTTGGGGATAAACTCACAGTAAGGGTAACAATCTGTAGTCTTCTGTGTGCGTGGAAACTGAGAACCAAATCCAGCAGAAGAGAGGCTACTCCCATCTGCACACAGAATTCCTTAGCATGCCTTGTTCAAAAACTCCCGCGTGTCTCCCCTAGGGTACTACCCTGCTTCTCCTTACACCCAGGCCCACTCACAGAAAACTTACCCATGAGTGGGTCCTACGCTGGTTTCCACTTCCTCGTTCCCTTGCTCTCTACATCACCACAGGTTCCCACCTCACAGTGCCACTGAGTCACCTGTGACTTCCCACGGTCAGCACACTGCCTATCCTCCATGCACACGTGTGACATGACAGTCCATCCTCCATGCACACGTGTGACATGACAGTCCATTCCCATCCACACGTGTGACATGACAGTCCATCCCCATCCACACGTGTGACATGACAGTCCATCCTCCATCCAGGTGTTTCCCTCCTTCAGGTGTTGCCCCCTGACTTTTGTGGACAGGTACATTCATACACAGAGGAGAACCTTCATTCCACTGTGCCTACTCAGCAATCACTTTTTTTTTTTTTTTAAGCCATCTTAGTTTTCTCCCCGGGTATTTAAACAGTTCTGCCTCTTGAATCCTTTTGTTCAGTCTTTGTGAGATTTGTGCATCGTTTGTAAATAATAGATGGCTTATTCTTAGTCCTATGCCCAATCCCCTGTGTGAACGCCTGACAATGATCAGTTTTGCTACTGGTAGACATTTGGGTAGATTCAGGTCTGGGATGATTATGAATAATGCTGCTATGAACAGTTTTGGTTGGGGGGTGGTTGGAAAGACAATTCAGAGGTTAAAATACTTGGCTGTCTGCAAGACAGACAATTCAGTTCCCAATACCAACATCTGCTGTCTCACGATTGCCTTTGGCCCCAGTTAACCTCAGTCCTCTTCTGAGCTCCATGGACACACACACACACACACACACACAAATAAATAAAAATAAAAGGGAAACAAAAGTCTTTAGGAGCACATGGGTAGCCATTTCTTCCACCCACAAACTGGAGTAAGACTTCTGGACCAAAGGGCGTGCATATGCCCAGCCTTGGGGTAGGGATGTGACCGAGCAGCACTCCAGAGTGGTTCTGCCTGGCTCTGCTCCCACAGTGCAGTTGCTCTCTGATTCCATTGTTACACCCTATGCCACGTTCCTGCTGGCTGCACTTCCCCAGTTCATCTGCTGTAATCCCAGTAGCCGCTCCTGTCTCCTGCCTGAGTGTGTGTTGTGTGTAGACATGCATATACATGTGTGTGGGTACAAGCAGAGGCCAGAGGACAGCTTGGGTAGTCATCTCCAGTCATTCTCCATCTTGATTTAAAGACACATTTATTTACTTGGGTTTTTGTGTGTGTGTGTGTGTTGTTTGTTTTTTTGGGACAGAGTTTCTCTGTGTATCTTTGGCTGTCCTGAATCTCACTCTGTAGACCAGGCTGGGCTTAGACTCACTGAGATCCACCTGCTTCTGGCTCTGGAGTGCTGGGATTAAAGGCGTGAGCCGCCACACCTGGCTATTTACTTAATTGTTATGCGTGTGTCTACGGGCACCTGCGTGTTTGAGTGTGGAGTTCATCTTTCATCTGCATGGGTCGGGGATCAAACTCATGTCAGACTCGCTGGAAATCACCTTTACCTGAGGAGCCAACTTTCTACACCCAGTCCCATCTTGTTTTTTGAGGCAGGGTCTCTCTCTTTCTCTCTGAGACCCAGGGCCTGGCCAGGCTGGCTGTCACTGAGCCCCTGGGATCCTCAGGCTTCTGCCTGTGGTCACATGTACTGTATCCACGCCCATGTACACTTAGCTGACTAAGTAATCTTCCCATGCTTTTAGTCCAGCTCTCAGGGCCACTGATCTTGTTTAAATATAAATTAGATCATACTATCCTGCTGCACCAAAACTTCCAGCGGCTTCCATTTTGGGTTAGAAGAGAATTCAGGCTCCTCCTCAAAAATGTTGCCTTAGGTTCCTATTGCTGATAAAACACTCAGACCAAAACCAATTTTGGGAGGAAAGTGGGCTTTCTTTGTTTTTTTTTTTTTAAATTCCAGCTTACATGTCCATTACAACTCATCACTACAGAAATCAGAGCAGGAACCTGGAGGCAGGAACTGAAGCAGAAGCCACGAGGAACATGACTCATAGGCTTCCTCCTCATGACTTGCTCAGCCTGCTTTCATATAGCATCCAGAACCACCAGCAGTACCAGGGATGGCACCACTCACAGTAGGCGGGGCCTTTCCACATCAATCGTTAATCAAGGAACTGTACCACAGGCTTGTCTACAAACCAGCCTGGTGGAAACATTTTCTCGGTTGAGTTTTCCTTCTAAAATGGCTCCAGCTTGTGCTGTTTGCTCTCTTTCTCATCTCTTGTCACTCAGTCACTCTGATGCAGACAGTGTCCATCTTGCTGTTTCTTGAACAGTCCAAGCTCCTCCTCACCCCAGGGCCTTGCTACTCAAGAATGCCGAATATTAAATCCAGGGCCCCGTGCATGCCGGGCAAGCATCCTCCCACTGAACCACATCTCTAGATCTATGTACGCACTGCTGCTTCTGCTGGACAAGTCTTCCCCGAGATCTCTGCATCGCTGATTCTCCTCACCAGTGAGGTCTCAGTTCAGGTCTCAGGCTTTCTGGGAGCCCTTTTCAGATCTTCCTTTTAGGTCTCCTCAACAACGGCCCTAATTTTCCTTCTTAAGATATGGCACAGGCTCACATGATGATATCTACCTATTTGCTCACACACTTTCTCCGACGTTCTCCTTAGAACATACGCCTCAGGAAGGCAAAGTAGACAGTGGATAGTCACTACTGTATGGGCAGAGGTCTCCACCGCTTAAAACAGTCTCACCACCAACTTGTGCTGACTGAGCGAACCTCAGGTGTTCAGGAGACTCCAGCAGAGGTGGAGGAATCCTCCTTGCGAAATGACTCACATTTGGGTGGGCTCCTTTGGTGCTTCTGGTGAAACCCAGAGCCCAAGGCCTCAAGTGGCCAGAATTGGGAGGCTGGCGCAGCGGGCACTAGGACCCGGCGCGACGCGCGGCGGGCGGGGAAGCTCTTGGCGCTTCAGCAGCCCGGCTGCGGCCACTTGTGCGATCCCGCCGCCCCTCGCGCCATGAGCCGCAGGTTCACGGTCACCTCGCTGCCCCCCGTGGCGCCAGCTGCGGCCGCCGACCCTGAGTCTCGCCGGCATTCGGTCGCCGACCCCCGCCGGCTCCCAAGGGAAGACGCCAAAGGTAGAGGCCGCAGGGGGCGGGGCTGCCGGGGGCGGGACGAGAGGGCGGGGCCACTGCAGGGTGGGGCGGGGCCTAGGTTGGGCGAGGGGTGCTGCAGGGAGCCGAGAGGAGTGCGGACCAAGGATTTGGGACGCCCCAGTGGGAAAGGCGAGGGGGGCGGGACCGTATCCTGGTGGGCGGGGCCACAGGGGAGCAAGTAGGTCCAGGAAAAGAGCTGGGGTAGGGGCGAGAGAAGAAGGGGAGAGCTGGAGACGGAGGGGTTGGTCTGGGTATGAATGGGAGTAGGCCCCAGCACTAAGGAGGTGGGGAACCTTGAGAAGGAGGGGGAGAGAGAGAGAGGACTATGATGTTGGGGGAGGAGGTGGGCTCCAGAACTGCGGGAAAGCGGGCCTAAGTCGATTTGGGGGGGGGGCCGGCCACGAAGGGCTGGGCCCGGAGGATGAGAGCTGGGCCAGGTTGGGTGGGTGGGGTCGCTGAGGCAGGAGCCACGTCAGCGGGCCCTTGATGCTCAACGGATTCTCCAATCTACTGCCTCTCTGTAGAGAGTCGGAACGCCTGGGTATCCCCTAAAGGAGATCGCAGACAGGGAAGTCGCATCCTGGGTAGCTAGGTCCAGGAAGGATGCCAAAGGACCCAGTCTCAATTCCCCGGGACTCAGCTCCCTCTGAAGGAGAGATCCTGAAGGGTTTGGAGGAGCTAGCTCAGCTGGAATTGGGGGGCCCAGGGCAGTGATCTTGTAATGGAAGTCACGCGCAGCTACAGTGGAGAGGGCAGAAGGATCCTTCTGGCCTTCCGAAGCGAAGTGACATCCTGGTTGCAGACAGAATCTCCTCTGCAAGGGCCACTGGAAGGGTTCTCCCTCTCCCTAACTCTGCGCCCCTCATGTTTGGAAGCAGAGGGGCGAATGGGCTTGGAGTAGCCCCAAGGCCAAGAGGAGAGACCCTTCCCTGGACGCTAGGGGTCGCTCATGAGCCGCGGGTGAGCTGGCCTTTCCTGGCGCTAACACATGCATGGTTCTTAGGGGGATCCTTCAGGAGGCTCCTCAAGGTATGGACAACTCCAGGTCTGGACTTCTTCAGGTTCCATTCGGGTGACCCGACCGCCTCGTGGATGTGGAAACTCGGGTTTCTTCTCACACTCTCTCTTTACTGTAACTCCTCTTGTTTGTCATTTTAAAAAATGGCTTATTCAGCCTCTCAGAATCAAAAATTCAGCAATGCTGAGTCTCATCACTGTTTTCTCTTCTCATCAAACCCAACTGTCCCTCGTGATTTGGCCACTGACCTCCAAAACTGATCTGTTACATCTCTCCTCTGCTTGTCACGATCCCCCGATCCAAGACTCCAATGTTGCTCACATAGCCAGGACCACATCTTCCTTTCTGGATTCCCTGCCACCAGCCCGTTCTAACCATTCCACGGGCAATGTAAAGATGCCCTCCACTGTAGGATAAAGGCCGGGCCCTTTACTGTGTCATTCAGCTTCTTTCCTCATTTGCATCTGGTACAACTCTCCCTGTTCACCCCCACCCCCCTTCCACGAGCTAGGAAAACCCCCACTCATTCTGAAAGCTATAGCCAATTTCACCTCTTCTGGAGCCCTTTCTCCTTTCCCTCGCTCCCAGGAAGAGGCAGTCATTCCTCCTCGGCCTGCCCACTGGAGCACATCAACAGATGCTGGTTGAAGCGTACCAAAGACAGAGATCATGTCTTTTTGTTGAAACAGGAGCGGCGGCAGGGCTGCGTCCCCGGCACCCGGCCGCCCGCATGGCTAGCTTATGCCCAGAAATAATTACACGGAAACTGTATTCTTTCAAACACTGCCTGGCCCGGATAGTTCCAGTTCCTTATGGCTAGCTTTTACATATTGTTCTAACCCATTTCTAATATTCTGTGTAGCCCACGAGCTGGCTTACCAGGGAGGATCTTAACCTGCGTCTGTCTGGAGCGGGAGAACCATGGCGACTCCTCACACAGCTTCTTTTTCCCAGCATTCTCCTCTGTATACTCCGCCTACCTAATTTTCTATCCAATAAAATGGGCCAAGGCAGTTTCTTTATTAGTAAGAAATCATTCCCACATCATTTCCCCTTTTTCCGTTTAAACAAAAAAGAAAGGCTAACTTTAGCATAGTAAAATTACATATAACAAAACAGTTATCAAGTAAGAATTACAGTTACAATATTTATATCTATCCCATCTCTTATCATAACTAAGGAAAACTATAACTATCTATTCATTCTTCAACTCCATCAAAGACTCCAAAAGGATATAATATTACCTATCAAACAAGAAATAAGAAAACTCTAAAAATGACAAAGACATCTCGCTGCCTGGACAGTCACCCAAAGTTCCTCTGTACCGTTGGGGCATCCATCTTTGGCCTACAGGCCCATGTTATCCAGAGACATTTCCATGAAGCAGGAAATTTTAAAGACAGTTCAGTCATTTTCTGCTGTGTCCTGCAGAATGTCTCGCAGACTCCTTCATGAATCAGGAACCCCGAAAGACCATCTCACCTTTAGGCAAGTTCAGCAGTCCTCTCTCTGTGGGTGTTCTGTGTCCAGTTTATGCAACAGTCCAGGCAAGAACAGTTTCTTGCCCAAATGGCTATCAAACTCCATAAGGATCCTCTTCGATGCCCATCTTCCTCTTGAAGTAGCTGGTGCTGCCAGGAGCAGACGTGTCTCATTGTCATGAAAAACCCTAAGTTATTAAAACATTTAAATGCCATATTCTGCAGCCTTTGAGAGATATGAAGAATGCCTATCTAACTGAAAGATATCTCTATATATCTAGAAAATCTAATTAACATGACTACAAGCTTAACTATTAGCAATGATTATCCATTAACAACCTATATTTCCTAATTATACATTACATTTTAAATGAACTACACAATCACAATACCTTAATCAAGATCAAAAATATATATACATATAACAAAATTGACCTTAAAATCCATACCAATGCAAATTATTCATATCTATATCATCTTTTATCTTCGTGTTCTGAGTTCTATACCCAGAGCCTGACAGTGAGCGATCGGGGCTCATCGGAGTCTGTGGCTCTGGTCTCCTCCCTCTTTGCCTTCTCTCCTCCTGTTCTTCAGACCTTGACCTGGGAATAATGTGTTGGGGACTCAGGTCGTCTTTCCACTCACACTGACACCTGCACCGCTGACGTAAAGCATAGACCCAGAACCTGACTGTCCAAGTGTACGTGGGAAACGAATGTGGGTATGGGATGTTGTGTGCTTGTGGCTGCGGCTGTGTGTGCATGTCTTGATGTGTGTATCCCACACCGGCTTCCATGACCTGTCAAGAAGTCAGTGAGCCAGTGCTTATGTGTGTCGCGGTACTGCCAGGGTGTATGATGGACACAGCGTATAGATTTCTGTTTTTGTCTGTGGGGTGGGCACGTGTATCTATGAGTTCATTCAAAGTTCCCCTTTGTCATGATTTGGGTGACTCTTTACCTCTCAAACCCTCAGATGACCTCAAGCACCTCCTCCTTGAAGGTCACTGAGCGGGGAATTAGACGCGTGCTCCCAGGAGGAGCTTAGCATCTGGTGTCTTTCCCACAGCTGCCCTGTGTCAGTGTGCAGACAAGAGTCGGTCAGTGAGCAGCTCAGAGAGATGCTCTCCCCACCTCTTGTTCCCAGGGTCAAAGGGAGCGGTGGCAGCATGTGTAAGGGTGGGAGGGGCTGTGGGGACACTGGCAAACCACATATGTGTGAGCATCGTGTTTTCCTGTGGGTCCAGCTGTAGGGTTTGCCATTGCAGGGTTGCCTGCTTTGACCTACAGGGATGAAAAGGTTATGTGAGAGACTGAGCCTCGAATACACCGTTAGCCCCGAACTGCAGCACGCATGCTTCGGGTGCCTGTCTTGGTCTGTAGGAAGGAAGGCGGGTGGTAGCCTCCCAGGATAGAAGTAGACAAATCGTTACAGCTCTGAGCCAAGCCCACATCCTTTCGCCCACACCCCATCCCTCGGCTTTTCAGGGGAGTCTGGACAGTGGAAAGGGACAGTAGGATTAGCCAGGCTCACAGAAATTGAGGCTTGCCTTCATGGAAGGACAATGAATCAACTTTTGCTAGGGGACGAAGCAAGACCATAGGATGGACCACATATTCTCTGGCCCAAGCTCTGTGGTATCACCTTGAATATGCTGCTTTCCTTCCCTGGGGCTCAGTTTACCTGTCTGTAGTATAAAGCAGGAAATGTCCTTCCTCCATAAAATAACTGAAGATGAGCTTGTAGCAATAGTCACACCTCACACCAGTAATTCCAGGAGACTGAAGCAGCCTAGCCTGAACTATAAAGAAAGACCCTTCAGAAACAGAACAAAACACTTCAAATGACAAAAAATGAGGCAAGAGTTTTTGATGCTCTATAAGGGTGGGGCCTCCCCTAGATTCAGATCTCATGCTTTAATCTCTCTCTCTGTAAATTGGGAAGAATGATACTGTTATTGCTGTGTGTGTGTGTCTGTGTATCTGTGTGTGTGTCTGTCTCTGTGAGTGTGACCATGTGTATGTTCTGTCCAAATGGTTTCTCCACCTTCAATCAAGACTCAGAACCTTACTGCCCACCTCAGCCCAAGGTGAGCCCTAGGAATCTCCATGACAACAAACTGGTTACGAACAGGGCTGCAGTTGCCATGGTGACAGCTCTCTCTCTCTCTCTCTCTCTCTCTCTCTCTCTCTCTCTCTCTCTCTCTCTCTTCCCCTCTCTCCTTCCCTTCCCCTCCTTCCCTCTCTCATTCTCATCCCCCTCTCTCCCCTACTCTCTTCTCAATGAACCAGAGCTATCTACAGGCCCCAGCTTTCCAGGCGGGGTGAGGATAGGGTTGAGTTACACGAGAAGAGGTCCAGATTGGGAAATAGGGAAGATAGGCTGAGTCTGCATGGGAATAGGGGGCTGTTGGGGTGCTGTTGCCATGGCGACGGGGCTGCAGCCTGTTAATTAAGCCCCCGGTTGCCACGGAGACGGTGGTG